GGAGATGGTTGGGGGGGGGGAATAAGGTCCCAGCCCCACAAGTCCTTGAGGGCTTCCTACCATACAAGTGGCACCACACAATCAGCACCACAGTTTTCCTAGGTAGAGGCTGCTGGGGGAGAAACTTAAGACAGAGGAGCAGATAAAGGTGGGTTGGCTGTTGGGTGGGGTTGCCAACAGTAGGTTAGGAAATTCCTTGAGATTTGGGGTGTGGAGCTTGGAGAGGGTGGAGTTTAAGGAGAGGAAGGACCTCGGAAGGGTATAATGCTATAAACTTCATACCAAAGCAGCCATTTCCTCCGGGGGAAATAGGGTTGCCAACATCCAGGTGGAGGCTGGAGATCACCTGAAACTGATCTCCAGATAACAGATCTGGTCCCCAGAAGAAAATGGCTACTGTGTAGGGTGGACTGTATGGCATCCAACCCTGCTAAGGTTGCTTCCCTCCCCCAAACTCTACCCCTCGCAAGGCTCTACCCCTCAAATCTCAAGGAATTTTCCAACCTGAAGCTAGCAACCCTAAAGGGGAACAGCTGTCAGTAGTTGGGAGATCTGTTGTGATTAGGGCTGCCAGGTCCCCCCCAACCATTTTTGGAGGATGGGGGGGATAGGGCTGCCAGATCCAGGTTTTGGAAAGGAGCCTGGGAAGACATGGATCTCAGTGGGCTGCAATGCCATAGAGCAGGGCTGGCCAAACTTGCTCAATGTAACAGCCACACAGAATAAATGTCAGATGTTTGAGAGCCACAAGACAGAAACAAATATTACACGCACGATTATATTGAAAAATATGCAAATTTGCTTTTTATTAACATTAAATTAGACTGTGTGAAAGAGCCGCATGAGGCTCCCGAGCTGCAGTTTGGACACCCCTGCCATAGAGTAAACCCTGCAAAGCATATATTTTCTCTGTAGTCTAGAGATCAGCTGTAATTCCAGGGGATCTCCAGGTCCCTCTTGGAGGCTGGCATCCCTAGTTGTGATTCCAGGATATCCCCATCCCCACCCGGAGGCTGGAATCCCTAAAAAGAAGCAGAGAAAGGAGAGGCTATGCGGGCTTTCAGGAAAGG